GCTAATCCCGGTGATGGGAGGCCTCGCGGCTCCGCTGATCTTGGTGCTGGGAGGCATATTACCCTTTTACTATATAGGATAGAGGCCTGGTGCATGGGTGGGGCTGGCTGGTTTGCCTTGAAGGGTGTCCTGGATCAGGGTGGGGGGCCCCACTGGGGTGCCTGGCCAGCCTGGGTGAGGGGATGATGGCTGTTTGCAGCTGGTCACACACCCTTCAGGGTGGGGGCCCCCACTGGGGTGCCTGGCCAGTCTGGGTGAGGGGCTGAGGGCTGTTTTCAGGCTGGCTGGTGACTGAAGCTCCCAACTGCTCCTTTTTTTCTTTTCTTTTTTTTTATTCTGGGCCAGCTTTAGCTCTGGCTCCGGCTCTGAGGCCTCTGCTGCTGAAAGCAGGTATCTGGTTTGTTTGTGTTCTATAATCGAAACAATGTATAACTTCAGCTCTGAGATCCCGGCTTGCTGAAAGCAGGTTTCTGGGGTTTTGTTTAGCTTCTATATTTGTAACAATGTTTCAAACTGCAAGCTCAGAGGCCAGCAAGGCAGGCGGGGAACGTTGGAGTCTTCCGTCACTGAAGCAAGCAAGCCTCATGTTCGCTTCCAGCTGCCTGGCTGCCGGCCGCCATCTTGGCTGGCAGTTAATTTGCATATCTCCCTGATTAGCCAATAGGAAGGGTAGCGGTCGTACGCTAATTACCATGTTTCTCTCTCTTTTTTTAATATATTTCATTGATTTTTTACAGAGAGGACGGGAGAGAGATAGAGAGTCAGAAACATCGATGAGAGAGAAACATCGATCAGCTGCCTCCTGCACATCTCCTACTGGGGGTGTGCCTGCAACTCGGGTACATGCCCTTGACCGGAATCGAACCCGGGACCCTTCAGTCCACAGGCCGACGCTCTATCCACTGAGCCAAACCAGCTTCGGCTTCTCTTTTATTAGATAGGATTTTTCTTGTTTTTTTGAAGTATGCCTGTATTGTTATGAATTTCCCACTCAGGAATGCTTTTGCTGTGTCCTAGAGACTTTGGGTTGTTGTACGTTCATTTTCATTTGTTTCCAGGAAGTTTTTTATATCTTTCTTGATCTCATTAGTAGCCCAGTCATTGTTTAATAACATGTTATTCAGCATCCATGTGTTTGAATATTTTAGGGTGTTGATTTCTAATTTCATTCCATTAGTATCTGAGAAGATGCTTGATATGATTTCAATCTTCTTGAACTTGTAGAGACTTATTTTGTGTCCTAACATGTGGTCTATCTTTGTGAATGACCCATGTGCACTTGAGAAGAATGTATATGCTGCAGCTTTGTGATGAAATGTTCTATAGATATCCATTAAAACCATGTGATACATGGTAATTTTTTGTCTGGAAGAGCTATCCAGTGAAGTCAGCAGGGTGTTAAAGTCCCTTACTATGACTGTATTGTTGTTGATCTCTCCCTTAAAGTCCTCTAAAAGTTTTTTTTATATATATATTTAGGTGTTCCTATATTGGAACATATATGTTTACCAAGGTTATATCCTCTTGTTGGATCAGTCCCTTTAGTATTATGTAGTGACCTTTGTTGCCTCTTGTGATGGCCTTCATTTTAAAGTCTATTTTGTCAGATATGAGTATTGCTACCCCAGCTTTTTTTTCTTTTCCATTTCAATGGAAAACTTTTTCCATCCCTTCACTCTCACCCTGTGTGAGTCTTTTGTTCTGAGATGGGTCTCTTGTAGACAGCATATAGGTGGGTTGTGTTGTTGTATCTATTCAGCTACCCTATGTCTTTTGATAGGAGCATTTAGTTCATTTACATTTAAGGTTGTTATTGGTAAGTACTTATTTATTGCCATTTTGATTCTGTATGCCTAGGTTTCTCTATTTTTTCTTCTCATTACAACAGTCCCTTCAGCATTTCTTGTAGTGCTGGATTGGTGGTGATGAACTCCTTAAGCCTTTTTTTTTGGTCTGGGAAGCTATTTCACTATCTATTTTGAGTGAAAGCCTTGTTGGGTATATCTTGGTTTCAGATCCTTGGTTTCCATTACCTTGAGTACTTCATACCATTCCCTTCTGTCCTGTAGAATTTCTGATGAATTTTAGCCTTATGGGAGCTCCTTTGTAGGTAACAGCTTGCTTTTCTCTTGCTGCCTGTAAGATTCTCTCTTTGTCTTTAATTTTTGGCATTTTAATTATGATGTGTCTGTGTGTGGGCCTGTTTGGGTTCTTCTTGCTTGGGGTTCTCTGTGCCTCCTGAACTTTTGTGGCTTTTTCCTTCACTTGGTTAGGGATGTTTTCTGCCATTATTTCTTCATACATGTTCTCTATTTTTTGCTCCCTTTCTGCCTCTTCTGGCATGGTTACTGTATGAATATTGTTACATTTCATATAGTCCCACAGCTCCCTTAAGCCCACCACCTGGGCAAGTGCCCTGATGGGCAATCAGACCGTGACCTCCTGGTTCATAGGTGGATGTGCAACCATTGAGCCACGCCAGCTAGGCCACAGGCCACACTTTGAATAGCATGATTCTAGAATAACCTCACCCCATTCCCTTCATCCCTTGCTCCATGCCCCTTTAGTGTGTCCTATCTTTTCAACAGGATGGGGCAATTGCTTCTGCCGAGAGGCTAATAGTCATTCTCAGTCTCTTAATGAGCCTCAGAAACTTCACAGCATGGAGCAAGGTGTTTTCCAATAGGGTGGGTCAACTGTCGAAACCACCGGTATAGAAAATGTCTGCCTGAGAAAGATGACCTCCGCAGCATGAGGGAATGACTCAGCACAAGAAACTGGGGTGTTTGCCTTCTGAGCTCTAACCACAGAGCCCCCAACCCTAGCTTCTGCTCACACAGCTCCAGTCCACTCTGCCCTCCCTCTGCCAGAGCACAAGGTGAGTGGCTCCACAGGGAATTTTGTGCATTGGCCCTTTAAGTGGGTACCTGAATTTTCCAGCTGCCTATCCCTGGCAGACAGCAACCCTGCTGCTTTTCACAGCCAGATGTCATGTGGGCACTTTTCTCAGTTCTGGTGTTCTTTGCCTGGGGGCCCAGCTTGGGGATTAGACCCCTGAGTTCTCAGTGGCAACCCCCACAGCTGAGACATCTCTCCAGAACTTCAGTTATGTCTGCGGGAGCCCATCCAGCCCCTTCATGCCTCCACCCTTCCTACCAGTCTCTATGTTGTCTCCACTTTCCATGCTTGGTTATCAGGATGCTCTCCAGCTATCCTTGATTGTTCAGGATGCTTTTTGTATTTTAGTTGTAATTTATTTTGGTCCTGGGAGCACTGTCATTTTTATTCTCTCTGTTCAGGCTTTAGAAAAATAACTAATTCTTTAGATGCCATTAAAAATGTCTCACCCTCAAGGAATATTCTCTCATCCCTCATTTACTCTCATAGCACCTCATCCTTCTTCTCCTTGGCCAGACTTACATTCCATGAGAGCAGGACTGTGTCTGGCTCATTCACCTAGGTATCCATCCCCAGTTCTTAGCATGCTGCCTGGAACACAGCAGGTGCTTGATAAATATATACACACATATACCAATAAGAGAACATTACAAAGCAACACATTTCTAGGAGAGTATAGTTTCTTTTTATTGAAAGAAGCTGATCTTTGAAGGGTCATTGGAGTGGCCCTCTCAATTAAGGCACACATACCACAAATTAGCAACCTTTGTACAGGGATTATGACCTAATAAAACCTTTTGTGACTCATTCTAGACTTCCTGTCTTTCCCAGAAGTCTCTGAAATGGAAAGAGGAAGAGGGAGGAAGAAAAGATAGATTAATTTTCAACAAGAGCCCAGGGATTCCAAGAATCAAGAGTATGTAGCCATAGAGGGAAGGAGGTGCAGTGTACAGTGTACTAAGGTCACTCTGGCACAGAACCCAGGAATAAAACTTGAAAAAAAAGTCTAGGTTAGTGAGTTTCACACAAAACAGGAAATGGACGGTTTTGAGTCACACCTGTGGATAATGACGAAAGTTTTCCCTCCTCACTGTCCTGGCATGGTCCTTGTAGACATGCACAATGGTAGGTGTTAAAAAGCAAGTAAATGGGCTAAGGTGAGGTATGGAAGTGCAACTCTCCTTTCCTGAAGAGCTCTGGTGGCCCAACCGTGCAGGATGCTGGACAAGCAAGGTTGAACCACAAAGGGACCTACATCTTCTATTAGGAGGAAGAGGCCCAGTTTTCCACTGATACACCCAGTGGAGCAGGTTATACTAGTTATATGTACAAGATATAGGACACACTAAAGGGGCACGGAGCAAGGGATGAAGGGAATGGGTGAGGTTATTCTGGAATCATGCTATTCAAAGTGTGGCCCGTGGCCCAGCTGGTGTGGCTCAATGGTTGCACGTCCACCTATGAACCAAGTGGTCACGGTCTGATTCCCCATCAGGGCACTTGCCCAGGTGGTGGCCTTGATCCCGGCGTGGGGCATGCAGGAGGCAGCTGATCAGTGATTCTCTCTCACTGATATTTCTCTCTCTCTCTTCCTCTGAATCAATAACAAATATATTTTTTAAAAACAAAGTGTGGTCCGTGGACCAGTAGCAGCAGCGCCCAAGTGCTTGTTAGAAATGCAGAATTGCAGGCCCCATCCCAGCCTTCCTAAAGCAGAACCTGAAATTAAAGTTTCCCAGGTGCTTTCTATGAACATCACAATTTGAAAGCACTAAGATTTCTTGAGGAGGGCGAGCTTGAAGGCCATGATGAATATGAGGGAGGAGGGCCGGACGCGGGGAAGGGGCCTGAGGATTCTCTTGGAGCGCCTGGACAGCGCGGGCAAGGAGCGCAAGGTGGCCTCTGCCGGGCAGCCCCGAACAAGGGGACAAAATCAACCGCGCAGGGCTTGAGGTCGCCCGAAGAGAGGGCGCTGGTCTGCCGCCGCTGCCACGCACCACCCCTTCTCCCGCATCCGCCCCAATCCGCCAGCGCGGGGCTTCTGGCCGGCCACCGGCCGTGCCCGATTGGGTTCGACGGGCCCAGTTCGGCTGCTAAGGCCTGGAGCTCCCGGGAGCGGGGGTGGGTCCGATTGCTGGCAGCCAATCGGGAGGCGGGAGAAGGCTGGTTGCTCGCCTTCTGGGCGCGGCGTCACCGGACTCGCCGCCGCGCGGGCTCAGGTTAGCTGTAGGTTCCGGCCTCGGCCCTGGCCTCGGCCCTGGCCCCGGCCGGCTCTCCGCCTGCGGCAGGACGCGGAGGACAGCACTCAGTGAGCTCGTAGCGTCGGAAGCGCAGGTGACCCGAGTGATCCGGCAGCGCCACCCGGCGGGACGCTTCGGCCGCCCAAGGACCTTTGGACTCGATCGGTTTCCGTCGTTGGGGTGGCCACAGGACCGCAGGGATTTGTGGACTTTGTAGTTCCGGATTCTGCGTGGAACCCAGGCTGGAGCCCCACAGGGATTTTTGGAGGAAACAAGAACTTTGAGGCCCAGGCCCCGGAAGGACAGGAAAGGAGTCTAAATAAGAATCTGCCGTTAGCATTGTTTTATTTTTCAGGTCTGACCTGAATCTGGTCCATCTCTTTCCGATCCAAACTGTTTACCCACGGGGGAGGGGAGCAGACAGCGAAATGGAGACGCTACCAATCAATCCAGTGGGAGAGAAAAGCACCTCTGAACCGCAACAACAATGGGGAGGGAACCCCAAGAAGAGCCTTCATCCAACTGCTCAAACTAGGCAGCAGCCCCAAGAGCCTGGAGTTCTCGAGCTGAGAATGAGCCCAGCTCCCAGCCAACTTCTAGAGGTTCCTCCAGGGGCTGGAAAGCTGGCTGCTGCGCTCGAAGGAGACGCCGAGAAGCCCCGTGGATCGGCTAGTGAGATGCCAGAGCCGCTCCGCGCTCCGGTTCTCTGGGACTGTCCGGATGGGAGCTTTGTCAAGAAGATCGTAATCCGTGGCCACGGCTTGGACAAACCCAAGCTGGGCTCCCGCTGCCGCGTACTGGCTTTTGGGTTTCCTTTTGGGTCAGGGCTGCCAGAGGGCTGGACAGAGCTAACTATGGGCTTAGGCTCGTGGAGGGAGGGAACCTGGGGGGAGCTCACAGAGAAATGTTTGGAGTCCATGTGTCAGGGTGAGGAGGCGGAGCTGCAGCTCCCTGGGCACTCTGGACCTCCTGTCCGGCTCACACTGGCTTCCTTCACTCAGGGACAGGACTCCTGGGAGCTGGAGGCCAGCGAGAAGGAGGCCCTGGCTAGGCAAGAACGTGCGCGGGGAACAGAGTTATTTCGAGCTGGGGACCCAGAAGGGGCTGCCCGATGCTACGGACGGGCTCTTCGGCTGCTGCTGACTTTACCTCCACCTGGCTCTCCAGAGCGCACTGTCCTTCATGCCAACCTGGCTGCCTGTCAGTTGCTGCTGGGACAGCCCCACCTGGCCGCCCAGAGCTGTGACCGGGTGCTGGAGCGGGAGCCTGGGCATGTGAAGGCCTTGTACCGAAGGGGTGTTGCTCAGGCTGCCCTTGGAAACCTGGAAAAAGCAACTGCTGACCTCAAGAAGGTGCTGGCAGTCGATCCAAAAAACCGGGCAGCCCAGGAGGAGCTGGGAAAGGTGCTCTTTCAGGGGAAGAAACAAGATGCAGGACTGGCTCAGGGTCTCCGCAAGATGTTTGGCTGATTAAAAGTTAACCCTTAAAAGGGACAGAAACCTGTGAATCGTGGTCTGTGCTGTGAGATCTGGGGGCGTGGGCCCTGAGGGAGGGTTTCAGCCCATATCCCATTCCCAGTGTTTGTCTTCCTAAGGGAGGTGGCAGTGGTCTCAGTGCACCTCTTTCCCTTTTTTTTACCATAAAAAGCCATGGCCACGTGCACTATATTTTAGGGGGCTTACCCATTTCCGAAGAGGAGTAGAAGCGAAGTTCTAAATTTAGTACAGTCCGCGGGAGCCGGGGGACCTTTAAACCCTGGAAACTACACCTCCCAGGCGCTTTCGCGCTGGGTCCCCTTCCGCGCATGCGCAGGTGCTAGGCCGGTCCCGCCGAGCTCCCATTGGCCCGGCCTGTGGGGCCGCCTCTTCCTCGGAGGCCTGTGCTCAGCACCCAGCTGTCTTACTGGTCAGAATAGCTTCCGGGACCGCCCCCTTTTTTGAAGAGTCAACTCCTTAGTTGCTGAGGAGAGAGGCGGGCCTCGGACCCGGCTCGTGGTTGGGGGGCGGGGGAAAGATGGCGGAGCTAATGCTCCTCAGCGAGATTGCGGACCCGACGCGGTTTTTCACCGACAACCTGCTGGGCCCGGAGGACTGGGGTGCGTGGAGGGCGGCCTGGCGGCGGGGAGGGCTGCGGCGGCGGTGCCCTGGGCACGCCGCGAGGAAGCGAGCCCCAGAGGGGAGGCCGGGCCAAGACGGAACCCACCTTCCGAAGGAGGGCGGAGCGGGGGTCCGGCGGTGCTTGGGGGCGCGGGAGCTGGGGAGGCCGCTGCTCGCTGCGGGAGCGCCGAGCTGGTCCGGGGTCGGGGAGGAGGACCTGGCGTTCGGCGGTATCGCCTTCCTAGGGGGCGGGCGGCGGGTCCGGCCGGCGGGCCCAGTGCCCAGTGCGGCTGGACGCCGCCCGCCGCGCCCCCCGCCCCCGCCGCGCCCCCGCCCCCCGCCCCCGCCGCGCCCCCGTCACACCCCCCGCCCCCGCGCCCGCCGACGCCGCGCCTCTTGCAGACTGCACGCTGTACGCCGGCCTGGAGCAGGTGGCCGAGGAGCCGGCGCAGCTCTTCCGCTGCCCAGAGCAGGATGACCCGGTATTGCCCCCAGCACCCGCCCCGGTGGGTGGCGGCGGCCCCGGAGCCCGGGCTCGGCCCCAGCCGTTTCTCACAGCCCCCCCCATGCCCTCCTTCAGTTCGGCAGCGGCATGCTGGACGTGGGGATGGATGTCAGCCCCCCCGAGCCCCCGTGGGACCCCCTGCCTCTCTTTCCAGGTAGGAGACCATGTGACTCCTCCACCCTCAGCGGCCTCCTCTTCCCCGGGTCCTCACACCCGACACCCCGCCGGTGTTCCTCCCGCCTTGCCAGCGGGGGGCCCTCGCCCACGCGTCCGTGGACACTTTGTGGACTCTTCTCGGGCTCCGCCTCCTGGTCATTTCCTACCCCCTCTTCCTCCAGATCTTCAGGTGAAGTCTGAGCCGTCCTCTCCCTGCTCCTCCTCCTCTCTCAGCTCCGAGTCGTCGGGCCTTTCCACGGAGCCCTCCCCCCGGGTGAGAACCCCCACTGGGCCGGCGAGGACTCCTCCGGTCCCGGCGCCCTAGGTGCTGAGGGGGACGTGTGTGGGGTGGGGCCTTCTCCCTCCCTGTCAATCTTCACATTCTCACTTGCTGTAATATATATACATGTATATATATATTGATTCCAGAGAGGGAGGGAGAGGGAGAGCGAGATAGAAACATTAGTGATGAGAGAGAATCACTGGTCGCTGCCTCCTGCACGCCCCACGCCGGGGATCGAGCCCGCAACCCAGGCACGTGCCCTTGCCTGGAATCGAACCGGGGACCCTTAAATCCGCAGGCCTACGCTCTATCCACTGAGCCACACTGGCCAGGGAAGGGGAACCTTTTAATGCATAGAGGTGCGTGGCTGCGTGCCGGGGCGGGGACTTCCGGAACTTCCTGCCCAGGTTCCCCTCTAAGTATTTGAAACCGTGAGGTGCCGTCACCCTCCCAGGAGTCAAGCAGGAGAGAACCGGGCCAGCGGCAGCTTAGGGAGCTGCTGTGCCTTTCAAACCGAGTGTCAGAGCATAGGTGTTCGTGAGCTGTAAGCCTTTGTTCTGCTCTTACTCTCAACACTTCCCCTTTTTTGTTTCCTTCTTTCTGCGGCCCCCCCCACTTTCACCCAGGCCCCTGGTGTAGGGGAGGTGCTGGTTGTGAAGATAGAGTCCTTGGCACCACCGCTCTGCCTGCTGGGAGATGATCCAACATCCCCGAGTGAAACGGTCCAGATCAATGTGGGCCCCACCGCTGATGACCCCTCAGGTACTCACCCCCCCCCCCCCCCCCCACCCCCGCTTTACCAGGGAGGACGGGCATGTGTGCTGGGGGGGCAGGACAAGGAGGAAAAGGTGGGCGGAAATGACAGATAATCAGGAGAAAGGCCAGGAGTGGCAGGGAGAATTTTAGGAAACCATAGCAAGGGCAGCACTGACGAGATGGGTGTGATCTTTCTTTCTTTTTCTTGTTCCTAGTATCCTGCTGTGTGATTTAACTTCCTGTTGCTTTGCATGTTTTAAAGACTGGACAGTTTATGGCATAATTATTTATATTATTTTTTTCACTCTAACATTTTATTATAAAAAATCCTAAACATACAGAAAAATTGGAATATAGACCCAACTCCTAGATCCTATAACCAACATTATTTGTGCTGTTTTTAAGTGTTACCAAGTTTAGGTACCCTTCTGTATTTATTCAGTAAACATTTATTGAGCACCTACTCATACCAGGTACTGGACAGGGTGCTGGGGATGCAAAGATGACAAAGATGACCAGCACGCCGCCAGGAGACTCCTGTAGAGCGGTGGGGGCGGACGACAAGTAGCAGGGCACACCGGTGTGCCGCTGTGGCGTGTGCCGCTGTGGCGTGTGCCGCTGTGGCGTGTGCCGCTGTGGTGTGTGCCGCTGTGGCGTGTGCCGCTGTGGTGTGTGCCGCTGTGGCGTGTGCCGCTGTGGCGTGTGCCGCTGTGGCGTGTGCCGCTGTGGCGTGTGCCGCTGTGGCGTCGCTCTCGGAGCGCTGGGCCCTTCACCCGCGGGGCTGCGTCAGGATGTGCTGCAGAGGAGGGCTTCCTGGCTGAGCTGGGAAGGACGCATGGCAATTAGCCAGAGGGGACTGAGGGAGCGGGCACGTGTGTCTTTAGATGGATATGAGCAGGGAGTGGGGATGGCAAGGCGCCGTAGAGGTTGTAGGGCCGGGGGGGACCCTGCTGAAGGACTCTTAGTTGGTGTCCTGTGGGCAGTTGGGAAGCTCTGAAGAATCAGGCAGGAGCGCAGTCTGCCTAGGAGACAGCTCTGGTGCAGAGTAGAGAATGGACTGCAGAGGCGGGACTAGAGGCCGGAGGTAGAGAACCAAAGAAGAGGCTCCCGCAGTTAATCAAGTAAGGGATTTGGATGCCGAGAAGAAAGCAAAAAGAATAAAGTAGAATGGATGAGCTGCAGTGACCTCCTGGGCATTGAGCCGGGGTCGAAGAGGAAGCCTGGGCTTCTGGCTGGGCAGCTGTCCAGCGGGTGATGGTGCTGTCCCCTGGATAGCGGTGTGAGAGCAGGAACCCTCTGCTCAGGGGGCATGAGGAATCCAGGGTTGGCCAGGCTGATTGTTCAGCTCAAAGTGCCTTCAGGGTTTCCTGGCACTGCGTCCCAACCAGAAGCAAGAGGGCAAGGGAGCCAGTAATGGAATCCCCTCATGTTTCCTCCTGGGATTCATGGGGCAGAGAAGGATGGAGGGAGGATTTGGAGGAACAAACATTGTATCCAGCACACTACTAAAAGTTGCAAAGAGGACAAAGTAAAGATCGAAAAGCCTTGAACAGCAAAAACATTGTTGATGACTTTACAAACAGTAGTGTTACTGGAGTCAGATTCTCCCCTACGACTTGTGTTTTTTTGTGTTTGTTTTTTTAAGTATATTTTATTGATTTTTTACAGAGGGGAAGGGAGAGGGATAGAGAGTTAGAAACATCTATCAGCTGCCTCTTGCACTCTCCCTAATGGGGATGTGCCTGCAACCAAGGTACATGCCCTTGACCAGAATCGAACCGGGGACCCTTCAGTCAGCAGGCCTACGCTCTATCCACTGAACCAAAGCGGTTAGGACAACTTGTGTTTTTTGACTTGTACTTTACTCGTCACTTTGATAGACATGAGGCATAAGGCATGGTCCTTGCCTTCGGAGGGCTCCTGAGGGTTATAACAGATGGTTAGTAGCTCAGCTAGTGGGTACCTCCGAGGGTGGGTTCTGAGTGGCTGGTGGACAAGGAATTACCCTTTGTTCCTCTGGGAATTTTTTATCACATGACTGTATTGCCTATTCAAGAGTAGAAATTGATTTTAAAATTTAGATTAGAAATATTAGTGATTGTATAATTGTATAATATTAGTGATTGTACCAAAATGAGTGGTATGGCCAGAGGTGGTAGCACACTGGTGACCTTGGGGCTGCCTCTGGCCCTTGGGAGGGTTTCAGTTCACCTCCGGGGGCAATCGGCGGGTCTTACAGATTTAACAGGCCCCGAAGGCGCAGAGGTGACTGTGGCTTGGTGATGTGGTGTCTGGGAGGCTGCCAGACGTAGGGAGGGAATTTGTGCGAAAGGACAAGCAGTGAGCTTTGTGTAAGTCCAGTTGAATTTGTGTAAATGGTGGGGCATGAGAATGGAAGTGACGAGCAAGGAGCTTGGGCATCAGGGTCAGGGCATGGGCAGAGATTGAGGCTTGGCGGTGGTCAGCATGGAGCTGTGTGCTAGCATTAGGCCAGGGAGAGATGAGAACCCAGGCAGGCAGGAGCGTGGGCCCGTAGGAATGCTGCGTCTCTTGCTGCTTGGGCCTCCGCATGAAGGGACCGGGCCTGTGAGGGAGACAGGGACAGCGGGAGGGCAGGGATGGCCCTGAGGAAACCGCGGTGGTGGGAAGAGGAAGGAGCCCCGCGGAGCGCAGTGCTGGGCGGAGGCGGGAGGAGCGCCTGCA